AAGGGTCTAGTCGGGGGGGATGGGGTGGGATGCCCTGCCCTGCCCTGCCTGCCCAGGTTTCCCTTGCAGCCCCGACATGCTGTGCTGTGGCACCTGGCGGGCCAGGACCTGTTGCTGGCAGGCTAGAGCCCCTACTCCCTTTGCTCGCCCCTGCGTTGGGCAGCTCTGGCTTCGCCCCTGGTTTTGAGGCTTAGTGTCCAAGACCCACCTTCTCCCCCACTGCCTGCCCTCCCGATGTAGGCTGATGAGGAGACAGCTGCTGGCTGGGGTGGGGGGAGTGGGCTAGGGTCTAGACCATCTCCCCCACCTCGAGGTCTGGCAATTCCCAACCCGTCCCGAGATGGGGAGGAAAGGCTGTTTTTGTTCACTTCTTGGCTTTGCCACCTTCCCTTCCCTTTACGCTCAGTTTGGGGCCACGCCCATTGAACCCTAGTGAGTGTGGGGAGGGGCTGGGAGCTTATCATCTTGCCCTGCAGGTGGACGGAGAGCCCCTCTGAGGCAAGGGTGTTGGCCTCTGCTTGATACAATCGCCAAAGCTGAAGGTGAGAATTGAGGGGAAGGGGTAGAGACTCTGGAGGACTGTGGAGACTTGGAGGACGGTGAGGTCAGCCATCCGAAAGCGCCAAATGAAGACCCTCCCTCCCCCTCAAGTTAGGGAGAGAGATCCCCCTTCCCCCTGGAGTCTCCAGCCCGAGAACAGTCAAATTTTTATGTCTGGGAGGGTTAGAAAAGGGGAGGGCAGGGCAGGGGAGAAAAGAGGAGGGGATGGGAGGAGAGGGAGGCGAAGGGAGGTTTCCAGGGCTTTGACCAGTTGGTGTGGATGGAGCCCCGGGGCAGGGAGTGTTAAGCCCATTCTTCTCCTGGCTTCTACAGCCAGCTCCAGGGCACAGACTCCTGGCCCAGACAGGCCCTGGCGTCTTTCCTGCACTGGAGGGGTGGGGTGGGACTCTTTTCCACTCAGGTGGGTGATCTGTTGCCTCCATTTATCTTACCCCTGCAAACTAGTTCCTTTGGGAGGGACAACTGCAATTCTCTCATTTTTTGACCTTCAGTTAGTCCTCCCTCTGTCTTCTTTCACTAGACCCTAGTGACCTGGAGGGTAAGATGCTTCGCCAGGCCCTGAGGCGCTTTGGGCAGAAGCTTGTTCGCAGAAGGGCCCTGGATCCGGGCTTGGGGGAGAGCCGCTTTGCTCGATGCCTGAGCACCCTGGATCTGGTGGCTCTCGGGGTGGGCAGCACATTGGGTGCGGGTGTCTATGTGTTGGCTGGCGAAGTGGCTAAGGACAAAGCCGGCCCAGCCATCGTGATCTGCTTCCTTGTGGCGGCCTTGGCCTCTGTGCTGGCTGGCCTCTGCTATGCTGAGTTTGGGGCCCGAGTCCCCCGCACTGGTTCAGCTTACCTTTACAGTTATGTCACTGTGGGGGAGCTATGGGCCTTCACCACTGGCTGGAACCTCATCCTTTCCTATGTCATCGGTGAGTCGGGAGAGATTCTGGAGGTGAGGGTAGGGAGGGGAACCAGGGGCCGTGCGTGGGCTTTTTATGGAGCCGAGGTCCAGAGGATATAGAGGGACTGGATGACGCCCATTCGTGGCTGTCATTGCCCAGACTGGAGCTGCCAGTAGATGTTCGGAATGAGACACAGCTACATGCCCCACAAGTGGAAGAGGGAGCTAGGGAAGAAGGTGTGAAGGGGGTCATACCAACGTCCTGCTTCTGCCTCAGTCCCTCCCGTACCTCTTCCTCCCTAGGTACTGCCAGCGTGGCTAGGGCCTGGAGCTCTGCCTTTGACAATCTGATTGGGAACCACATTTCACTGGCCCTCCAGGGTAATGTTTCTCTGCGTGTGCCCCGGATCTTGGCGGAATACCCAGACTTCTTTGCTCTTGGCCTTGTACTGCTGCTCACCGGTGAGGGAGAGGGCACATGAAATAGAGGGGTGGGCATAGAAGAGAGCTACAGACAGTAAAGGAACTATCACGTGGGATGGGGGACAGGCCTGGAGACTAAGCTGATTTGATGTTTCCCCACCCTGTCACAGGGCTGCTGGCACTGGGGGCCAATGAGTCAGCATTGGTGACCAAGGTGTTCACAGCTGTGAACCTGCTCGTTCTGGGCTTTATTATCATTGCTGGTTTCATCGAGGGTGACATCCACAACTGGCAGCTCACCCAGAAAGACTATCAAGAGGCTGGCTGTGGACCTAATGCCAATCACAGGTGAAGTGTGCAGAGACCTTGGGCTAAGGTGGGCAGCACAGTCTAGTGGGAAGAGCACTCCCGCCAGCTTCCGATCGCCTGTGGCTGGTCTATAACGTTGTTCCTTAACCCCTCTGAGCCTCAGAGCTGGAGTGAGTGGGTGTGTGAAGCCCAAGTGAGATAATGGATATGGGCTTCTTTACTTTTTAATCACGTAAATGTTAGCCATTGTTACTACTGCTACTGCTGCTACTGGGGTTTTCTCAATCACCCAAGTTGGCCCAAGCTTCTAGAACTCTGATAATGGTGAACAGAGAAGACTGAGATTTTGGGTTGAGCTTCAGAGTCCAAATCATCCATCACCCAACAGATTAGGCTGAGGTGGCAGAGTGCTGGAGGGAGCCCCTTCCCTTGCCCTGGCTCATTTCCCCCTTCACCCTTTCTCCATTTCAGCATCGGCAGTTTGGGCTCTGGGGGCTTTGTGCCATTCGGTGTAGGTGGTATCCTCCGAGGGGCAGCCACCTGTTTCTATGCATTTGTTGGTTTCGACTGCATTGCCACTACTGGTAACATGCCATTCTCTACCATCTGGGGCCTGGGAAGGGCTTGTACTGATGTTAGAGGGAGTGGGGGGAGGTGGAAGGGTCTTGATACTTCTCGGTTAAGCTTTTCTCAGGGCTGGGGGAAGGGCGACTTTTCCCTGAGTCTGCACCCTCTGATGTCCCAGGGGAGGAGGCACGAGACCCTCAGCGCTCCATCCCCGTGGGCATCGTAGTATCACTGTTGGTCTGCTTTGTGGCATACTTTGGTGTGTCTGCTGCACTTACTCTCATGATGCCGTATTACCTGCTGCTACCTGAGAGCCCCTTGCCAGAGGCCTTTCATTACATGGGATGGGCGCCTGCCCGATACCTTGTGGCTGTTGGCTCCCTTTGTGCCCTCTCTACCAGGTCAGTGGTAACTGTGTTCTTTGTCTGTATCGGTCCGAGCCTTGGGAATAACGTTCAGCCAGTTAGAGCCGTTGCAGAGCTACAAGAGAGAGGGAGAGAGCCCTACCCTAGAGAGGCTTGGGAGGGGACAGTCCAGTTCTTTCCCCATGCTGTACTTACAGTTCTTTCTGGGTCCTTCTGATTCCCTCCAATTTCCCCACCAGCCTCCTGGGCTCCATGTTCCCCATGCCTCGAGTGATCTATGCCATGGCAGAGGATGGCCTTCTGTTTCGGGCCTTTGCTCGAGTCCATTCCAGGACACGCACCCCCCTTGTGGCCACGATTGTCTCGGGCGTCACTGCAGGTGCAAATCCCTTCTTCCCTTCCTCCCCTTCTGTCCCCCTTCTGAGCCTGCTTCACGTGCCCTCTAGCTGCTCTGATGCCTTCCACCCCCACAGCTGTGGAGATCTGCCAACACTTCACGCTCCCTTTTCCTCCTTTTCCCCACTCCTAGCCCTGATGGCGTTTCTTTTTGAGCTCACTGATCTTGTGGACCTCATGTCAATTGGGACACTGCTTGCCTACTCCCTGGTGGCCGTTTGTGTTCTCATCCTCAGGTGGGCCCCACCTCCATTTTGGGTTCTTCTCTCATCCTGACCCACCAGGAGGAAACCCCGTGTTCTTCCCAATGCTGTTACAGCCCAAGCCAAGGCTTTGCTGGGTGGGGGAGGGGGAGGGGGAGGGTGTGTGTGTGTGTGTGTGTGTGTGACAGAGGAAAACCCAAACACTGGGGAGAGGGGGAGGGGAGAAGAGTAGATAGGAGCTGGTGCTAGTCACCAGGCTTCCTCCTGCCTCCAGGTACCAGCCTGATGAAGTAATGCAGCCAAAGGTAGATCAAGCTGTGGAAATGCAGTGGCCACAAGAGGATAAGGAGGAGCCAGAGCCTGAGAATAAGCTCCAGACCCTTCTGAACCTATTCTGCCCATCCTACTCTACGCCCACCCAGCTCTCTGGCCGTATTGTCTATGCAGCTGTCTCGATTCTTGGTGAGCAATGGGGTGGGGGGTCTGAAGACCAGGGACAGAACCCAGAGGTGATGGCTCCGGAGAGCGGGTGCTTTGGGCCTGGGATGCCACCTGCTTCAATCTGATTTCTTCTTCCTCTCTCACCCTGTAGCTGTGGTGATAACCAGCTTGTGCTTGGTACTGGCCCAGTGGTCAGAGCAGCTGGTGGCTGGGAACCCCACCTGGGTTACTGTGAGTGCCCTACTCCTGGTGCTAGTGGTTGTGACCACTGTCATCATTTGGAGGCAGCCCCAGAACCCGACTCATCTCCATTTCAAGGTAAGAGACTTCTGAGGGTTCCATTTCCCACCTGCCTGGGGAGAAGAGCCCTAACCTCCCCAGGGATCCCCAGCGGGGGGGGGGGGGGGGGGAGCCACAGTGTGCCCATGGTAGCATCCCTTTTCCATCTTGGATTTCTACTTTTAACAAACCTTGCTTTTCTCCCTGGCACCCTCAGTAGTCATGATAGCACTTGGCCTGGGCACATTGATGCCTCTTATTCTGCTCTCCCTTCAGGTGCCCGCACTGCCTCTCCTCCCACTGCTGAGCATCTTTGTGAATGTTTATCTCATGATGCAGATGAAGGCTGGCACCTGGGCCCGATTTGGGGTCTGGATGATGGTTGGTAAGTGTCCGTCCATGGAAGTAGGGAAGGCAGTACCTTTGGAGGACCTGACCTCTTAAGTTTTCTTCATGTTCCTCTTGGGGAGACAATGGTTGTTCTCCCACCTCACAGTCACCTTTCTCCCCCCACCCCCCACCTCCAGGGTTTGCCATCTACTTCACCTATGGGATCCGGAACAGCCTGGAGGGTCAGAATGACCCAGTGCCCTAGCGCTCCTTCTGTCTGACTCCAACAGCCTGGAGATGCTGTCAGTGCAACACTGGAGATTGCCTCTGTCTTTGTGTTTTTGCTCAACTCATCTTCTTGGGTCACAGGGGACTTGGGCTGCTATTGGGCCAGGTGGGTCATGAGGCCTGGGGATGTCTTTTGTTGGGTCCCTGGAAGGGTAAGGGGTGGGGTTCTTATACAGAACTGCATTTATTGTGATTGAAGGACTGACCTTTTGCTGTTTCTTGTCTGACCTTTTTTACTGTCTTGTCTACTTTGTGAGCTTTTTGAATTAAACAGAGGAAAATAAAAGCAGGAACTGTGTCTCCTCTTCTCTGAGTTCTCCCTCTCCCCTTTTTTTCTTACCTCTCAGGCTGCCTGGTTCCTGGAACTCAGTTCTCTCCAAACCAGGGAGGGAATCAGCTGTCCTTAGATGTGGGCAACTTGGTGTGGGGCTTCTAGATGGCCTAAGAACAAGGGCAAATAGTTCAAGAAATAAATCCCCTTCAGACAGAAGCACGAAGGGCCAGGTCCTTGGGGCCTTTTCCCATTGAAGGGGAGGGAGGAGAGGACAATTCTTTTGTGACTTGGGTCTCTGGCCCATCCGCCTCATTCTGGGCTGCTCTAACGCTGCTCTGGCTGCTGGCTGGGTCACTGATGGTCAAGGATGCCCTCGGAGCACAGCTGAACAGGTTTTCCTGGTCTTGAGACATATTGGAGGAGAGGAGGCTCTCAGCAGAACTGAGAGGCTGGGAAGAAGGTTTTAGCCAAATCGAATGCCATGAATTGACTTGCAATTTTTTTAGTTGCTTCCATTTTTTTTTCAATCCATGGTTGTACCCCCAACCACTTCATCTTCATTAATAGCTTCACCTGTAATGCTTAGGTCTTCCCAGGTCCTTCCTTCCCCATCACCATACCAGCTTATGGTATATGTATAGCCAGATCACCCATGGCCTGGGTGGGTATCGTATGCATAGTAGCAGCTGGTGACACAGTGGGTAGAGTGCTGGGCCTGGGATAAGGAAAACTGGAGTTCAAATTCAGACTCACCTACAGTCACCTGTGTGACCCTGGGCAAGTCTCTTGACCTCTGTTTACCAGTTTCCTAACTGTAAAATGAAGATAATAACAGCCCCTACTTCACAGGGTTGCTGTAAGGATCCACTAAAATAGCATTTGGTTTTTTTTTTAATTTCATTAAATTTTTTTTTATTAATTTATTTTGATTTATCAATAATCACTTCCACATGCTTTTGAGTTTAAAATTTTTCTCCCCCTTCCTCCCCACCACCCTCCCCAAGACGGCGCACAATCTGATATAGGCTATACGTTTACATTCATATTAAACATATTTTCACATTAGTGATGTTGTAAGTAAAAATTAAAACCAATAGGAGGAACCATCAGAAAGAGGAAACAAAACTCAACAGAAGAGGAAAAAAAAATAGCAATTCAACTCCCATAGTTCTTTCTTTGGATGTGGATAGCATTTTCCATCACAAGGCCTCTGGAGATGTCTTAGATCCTTGTATTGCCGGGAAGGGTTAAGTTTATCAATATTAGTCATCACACAACATGGCTGTTATAAAATAGCATTTGTAAAGCACTTAACACAGTGCCTGGCACATAGTAGGTGCTATATAATTAATTGCTTCTTCTCTCTCTTTTTCTTTCTTGTTTCACCTATCCAACATACTACCCACTTTGTCTATACCTTTCCCCTCTATTGGTCCTTTTCAGTGATACCAGCTCAGTGCCTAGAAACTGGAATTTTAGAGCTGTGTTTGCAATCACTCTTGACCAAATGAGTCACCTAACTCCTTGGAGACCCTGGAGAATTTAGTCAGTACCTGAAAATATTTGAACATGGAAATTAAGATCACAGATTTACAGCAGAAACCTTAGAGGGCTTGAATGGTACTAGCTCCTATGTGAAGCTTGAGTCTTGGAAGGTGAAGACCTCCTCATATGTGATCAAAAGAGAAGGAGGTGATGTTTTGGGGGGGCAGTCTAGCACCCCCTTCTCAGCCTATCCCCCCTCAGTACTTAGTTTGTAGGCAAGATCAAAGGGATTGCCAAAGGTTACATTTTCCACTGCCATTTCCAAGGCCTTTCCTCCTGTCATCCTGTAATCCTGAGTTAGAAGGAGGTCCTCCAGGGTACAAGAAAGCACTCTACCCTCATCCCCCCCCCCCCCCTTGCAAAGAGAGAGAGAGAGGGCCCTTTCCTCTAGGTGTGTGATCTGCTTACCCCTGTGAAATTCTACCACGTGACATGATCGACTGATCCAAAGACAGTGCTTGTTCTGGGAAATGTCAAGAGCCCTGGTCAGCCAGGGGCCCTTTCACAACAACTGAGTGAGGAGAAGAGGTACACTGTAATGGAATGAGTAGAGAGCAGATGCTCTGAGTCAGGAGGGACCCTGCAGTTGAAACCCACTGTTAAGCCTGGGAACGTCTAACCCTCCCAGCTCTAACCCTTTGTTACTTAGCAGCCCTGTCGGTGATCATGGCCAAGGCCCTTCATCTTTCTGAGCCTTTATTTTATCTATAAAATGGGTATAATACGTGCCTCTCAGGATTGTTGTGGTCGGTCATCCAACAAGCATGTAGTAAGCAATGACTAGGTGCCAGGTGCTGGGCGAAGTGCTGGATCCAATGGAGATTGATTTAAAGGGCTTCGGAAACCTCCATCAAGTGCTATGTACGAGTCAGTGCTTTTAACCCCCACTTGGCTCCCATACACAAAAGTCTCTAACATCAATCTCCCACCGATGCTATACAGCTTCAAATCAAGTCCCACTAACAAGGCAATCGCAGAAGAATCCCGATTGCAAATTCTGGTTGCAAGTGGCTGAAGGTGCAATGGAAAAATGCATGATGGTTATAAAGTCAGCTGTAGCGTACGTGTGCAAGAAGAGACCTAAAATACCCCAGGCAGGAAATCTCTGAATGGAAGAGGAGGGAAAGGGAATTGTGATCTGAGGGAAGGACCCACCCAGTGGTATCCATGAAATGTTAACAGAAGCAGGAGGCCTCCAGCTCTTTGAGCAGATCCTTTATTAAGAAAGTAGAATGGAAGCTCTGCAGGGCAGAATGTTTTTCTTTTGTGTCTTCAGATATCTCCACTGCCTTGACTAGAATAACCCTAAGGCTCTATAGATACTCATGACTTGAACTGAAATACAGCAAGGATTGCACAAGCTGGAAAAGTCTGCATGGAGGGAAGTGAAATTCTGGAAGCCTTCCTAGGAGTAACTGGGCTCGTGCCTGGGCCTACTGACATCGTGGGGTGGCCTCCCTTTGTCTCCAGAGAGGCCTGGCACTCCAGGGGTCCTCCAGGACCTAGGATCTGGCCTAGGCTCCAGATGCTAGCTCTCTCCCCTCCATCCCTATCGTCAGCCACAAGGTGGGGCCTGGCTTGGCCCCTGCCCCCATAAATTCGAGGCCCTGGGGCTGCAGCCTGCAGGCCGACGGCTGACCAGGAGGTGACCCAGACGGAGGCTGAGGAGGCCTATGGGGGGGCGGGGCGGCGGGCCCCTAGGAGCTCAGTCAGCTGCTGAGTCTGTCAGGAAGTGGCTGTCTCGGGAGGAAGGGGCCGCGTGGGGCAGCGGCTCCTGGGCAGCAGGTTCGGGCCAGTCCCCTCCCTGGCACCTCCCCCCTCCCCCCCCAGCACGTCCCCCCTTCTCCAGCGCCCCCCACCCCTCCTCCCCCTCAGGTCCACTTGAGGCCGGGCAGCTTAGCCAGGCTGGGGCCCTGACAGCGGGAGAAAGATGAGGTCCCATTGGAGGATTCTCCACCGATCGACAGCTGGGGAGAGGCCTCTTGACCAATGAGGAAGCGGCATGCCCACCGGGCCGCCCAATCACCGCGCGTTCCTCTGCACCGCCCAACGGAAGGTTACCGGGACCCTTTAGAACGAGCGAAGGGCCCTTGGCCGTGACCGAGGAGTCTGCGGCCCGGGGCCCTGGGCGGCCCGTCCTCGGGCTGGCTCGGGCTCGCCCGCTTTCCTGGGCCGCAGACTGGGCCCGCCGTCTCGGGTCAAGGCCTACGCGCGGGGGTGTGCCGACCCTCGTCCAGGCCAGAGCCCGCCCCTCTGCTCACAGCCCAGCTCAAGCGTGCCTTTCTTTTTCTAGGTGCCGGTGATCCCGAAGCGTCCACATGGAGGGGGAGCTTCATTTTGAGCAGTTGAAAGGTACAGAGCTTCCAAGGGGGCTGCCCCGGGCATCTCCCCTCCGCGGACTTGGTGCCCTAGGGATCTGGAAAGGCAGCCTTCTTGGCCAGATGGCATCGGGAGGCGGGGCTGGGGCTGGTCCCGGCTGACAGGACTGGGGGGGGGGGGGGGGTGTCGCTCCCTAGGGGCCCACTGACCGCTTGGCAGGTTCTCGACCCTGGGAGTCTCCTGGTTCACCCGTGGTATAAAGGACTCTTGGTGAGTGAGAGTCGCCACAACGATCCCGACAGCCAGCTCCAGCAGGCCTGTGTTGGAATCAGGCAGAGCCGACCTCAAGTCTTGCCTCTGGTACGTCGGCTGGGTGACCCAGGCGAGCCACTGACACTCTCGGGGCTCCCAGACAAGCTCCAGAGAAGACCGTAAGGTGCAGATGAGTTGCTCTGATCAGCATCAGTGGAAGGAACTTCCACACCAAGAGTTTTGCACCTCCTCCCCCAAACAAAAAAGACCCTAGGTTACTGCCGGATACTAAAAAAGTACCTTCAATCGTTTGTGAAAGATTAAATTATGTTCCACACGGTTTGAATGTTCAGTATAATTTATTGTGTTACGATTACTTGAAAATTGATGACCTGTGTAAAATATTTATGGGAGTTCCCAATTAACAAGAATATTCCATTAATGAAAACAATCGATTCCTTGAAAGACGATATATAAAGGATATTTGGTTGTTGCCATAAAGACTAATTAAAGTCAACCTGTCAGCATCTAGGTGGCACAATGGGTAGAGAGCACTGGGCCTCCAGTTTGGAAGACCTAAGTCCAAATCAGTCCTTATACAATCACTAGCTGTGTGACCTTGGGCAAGTCACTGAATCTCTGTCTGCCTCCAACTGTAAAACGGGGATAATAACAGCACCTACCACTCAGGATTGTTGCAGGGTTCAAATGAGATAGTAATTGTAAAGCACTTAGCACAGTGCCTTGCACAAAGTAAGCACTATATAAATATTAGTTATTATTGTAGTAGGGATGTCTGTAATGGTGAACTACAGGGCTTTTGTCTTTAGTTCTGTGCTATTTAGACTAGTCATTAATGAGTTA